GTTTGATGATTGATTTTTTGTAGTCTTCAACACAGAGAAAAATCAGAATGTGTAAAAGGTTTCTTTCCTACCTTTCACTTGCAATGGCTTTGTCAGCAAGCAAGAAAGATAGCGGTACAGAGCCATGATTCACAGCATTTCAGTGATTTCCTTATGACAGAGAAACAGTGTCACCATCCTTATTACGCTTTCTGGAGCAATTCAGTAATTACTTTGTGAGGTAGAAGATTAGGATGGGAGGACAAGAATATGCACCAGAACGCAGCCTGGGGGAAGTCCCTGAACTATGCGGTCAGTATTTTTGTTAATTTACTGATGGGATGAAAAGGCAGGAAGAAAGACAGGACCAAGGCCAGTTGGAAAGTAGACAGGCTGGTTGGCCTGAATGGTTCTTTTTTGCTTTGTTTCTCTGTTCCACAAGATAAAGAGAGTAATTGCATTTAAGCTGAAATAACAAGAAATTCAAAGCTCGGGCAGAAAAAGTATCACTAATTCCCATGCCTATTTAGAGTTTTCTTCTAAGCTGCAGATGTGCTAATTCGGTGGCTTCAGAGAAATTTGTATTTATAAGATAAATCCAAACAAAACTTTATAACCATATGATCATGTAGATTTGAAAAAGCTTAACCTAGCAGAATGCAAACATCAAATTACAATTATAAATGACAGACTACTATCACTGCAATGATATAGACAATATATATATATATATGCATATATTTAAGTAACTTCCACTGATATTAAACAGTTTATAATGATTAATACCAAAGTATACCATGGATAGACATGTTCTATATCATACCACTTTAGTTGCACAGCCCTGCTCTTGTCTTTGGAGGTAGAAAGAGGTCTTTGCTGGGAAGTAAAAATGTTTAGGGGCCATCACACAATCAATGCATTCCATTTTCTTTTCTATAGTTCCAGTGACATAGCTAAGTCATTATAAACCTATATGTAACCAGTCTGAGAATTCCTGGGCTATTTAGTTGAAAAACGATTTACTGCAAATAATACCCCCCCAGTATGATTTGGTGTGGCTTTATTATATTCTAAAATCAGTGAATAAACTGTAAACATTAATGATGCCTGCCACAAATGGATACCACTAACACCTAATTTTAGAGCCAAGTATTTTACAGCTAGCATGTTTGTTTTACATAGCATTCTTAAAATTATATTGAGGAAGAAACCCTTATTTTCAGGAGAAAATAAAATTGAAAATAATGATCTCTAGCTAGCATTTGGCTGTGTATTTTTTTGAGCATGTCAGTTTCCATCAGGAACTGTTTTCTGACCTTTTTGCTAACATGCATCAAAAATGCCTAACAGAATTGTGGTTTAGCAAACTACCTTTTCTGCAATTTATAAGTTTTTGTTGCATTTCAAAAAGAGCTATCATTCTGATTTTCCATCAAGGCAGACGGCCCATATATATTACTATATTATTATCTGGTACACAAAACTCTTAAAAGATTTCCAGGGGGAAAAAAAAAAAAGAAAAACTCTGCTAATTGAAAGTTTTAAAAGCAATCAGCATCTGCCATGTAGCTGTACAGGCTTTATATATGCATTATTACTTTTTTTTTCTTTTTATATATATATCATTTTTAAGTAAATTGTGTGAGTTTAGAGGGAGGCAGAAAGCAACTATGCAATCAAATATCTAAGTCTAGTACAGATGTGCTTTTCCAAGCAGTCTCTCAAAAGCACCCATTGGATATTGACTGCCCACTAGTTTGTAAGTATGTAAAATAAGGCCACTTATTTCTTGGCTGCCTGAATTCACTTGGCTGTAAGGAGTAGGTGGCATTTGAATAGGACTCCCTGTCTTCGCGTACAGAATTCTCATTTTCCAAACTAATGTAGGTAAGATGTGAAGTATTATTTTTCGCATCTTAAAAATGAATGACTTTGCTGTAGCTTCTAATATTCGGTATTTGGTAAGCTTTAATCATATGCTCTTCAGCATTCCTCCTGGTTTTGTAATTTCTTTTCTTTTATCTTTTCTCTCATTTTTACATTCTAACAAAGATCAGACCCAACCTACTTGTAGTCCAAGCAAATCTTGCATAGTATAAATACTCAGTCCAAGTTTAAATATAACAAGACAGATAAAAAAGTCATCAGTGTTTCTAGTTAATTATATTAAAAAATATGATTCACTGTCCTTCATGACTGACCTAAGCCTTACTCAGAAACATAAAAAATGTACAGAGGAAGTTAAAAACTAATGTAATCTGGATGGACAGAAATCTACTGATTTTTTTAAATATATTTTTACTACTTCCCAGGTAATCTTCAGTATGGACAAACAGTCCATACATCTCCAAAAGTATCTCTTTTCTGCCTTGTACCAAGTTATGAACTACATACCTTAGCACCTCTGCTTAAAGCTGTAGCTAAATTTTGCATACCTTTAAAATTTAGGCTATTACTTAAAACAGTATCTGGGATTTTGCTGCAGACTTTTGCACTAGCTACAGATGTATATCTTTGTGTTACTGTTTTCAGCTATGCTAACTAAGGTAATTGTAAAATCCTTACAAATCTTCCCTTGCTAAGTAGGACAGATAGAAAAGATTCTAAAATGTGCCACTTTTTATTAGAAGTGTTACTGAGCAACAGCTTAAGGGTAATTGGTTATGTACTCTTTTAGTTTTTTATTATGCTTCTAATCAGAGTAGAAGTACACTGCAATTCCTCAGCCTCAACTTCCATACTTTAATCAGATGCTATCAAACACTAACAAATGAAAATACCCTCAACAACAACAACAAAAATAATAAAATACACAGGGAATGCTGAGTCCTGGCAGTAGATTGAGAAACTTAATTGTTAAAATTATTAAAATACATCAGAAAACACCATGACAGTGAGTGACTTCAAGTTTGAGGGAACTGAAGGGTATGGCATCTGCAGATAGAGAATCACAAAAAAAATCAGCTTCAGTTTGGGACCCAGCAGAAGTTTTGTTATTATATTGCAATGCCACACCTGGCATCAGAAAACTTTGTTGTGATAGCTACTAAAATCAGCTATTCTGTTGAATGTGTTAATGCACATGCATCTTCCACCACATAAGAACTCACCAAGCACCAAAGTTATATTTTTTCTGCTGGGAGTAGCTCTACTGGTTATTGACTGTATTGGCTATTATTTTCATGCATGCTTTGCACACGCCCATTCCCAGCAAAGATTCTGAGTATGGACCAAATCTGGAAATACAGTAATTTAATTCTGCACAATGTAGAGATCTGTGTTACCACAAATGAAAGCATTTTTGTTTTCACCTCTGCAGAGCCTAGTTGGTTTCCACTTTATCAAAATAAAGATGTGTAGATGAATTCTGCTGTGTACTTGGACAGATTAATTAGTATCTTTTAGTAATGATGTTGCACAAACAAGATTGGTAGGGAGATAAAATATTTTTATTAGATTGGTTGAACTGGTTGTAAAAAGCAGAGGAATAGAGCTTTTGGGCGGGAAGTCCCTTTGCCAAGAATGAGACAAAATGCCTGATTCTTGCAAGATTTGGGCACCAAGCTAAGTAGGTATTTTTGAAAACTCACTCAGTCCCAATCCATACCTTCAGGTGCTCAGCTAACTCTGAAAATTTGACTTGGGAAGAGCAGAAAAGGTCCTCATTTAACTGCAGATAATTCTTTATTAATTTATCAGAGTTTTAAATACTCTAAAATGTTTTGACATTTGTTGCTTTCCTTCTAAGAGGCCATAACCTTTAGCACTAGCATTAGCAGGTCATCTCTAGTACTGCAGAGATCTTAATTGTTCATGAAATTGGGAAAAGCTGGAAGTGGAAAAGTCGCGCTCCTATATACATTCTGCAGACTGTTAGTATTATCGCACGCTCTCTCTTCTAGGTTAAAATGAGGCATTCATTATTTCTCAGTATTTATAAATAGGCATTCATTCTTTACAGTCTCTTCTACTTTCTTTCCATTGCAAATGTGAAGACAAGATTTGACAGTTGACATAATCTTTGACACTTTCTATATTCCTGGTCCTATTTTATTAAACTGTACTTTTAAGGTTGTTCTGCATCTCAGTCATGTACTCACTTACATGCAAATTATTTATGGGGAGACTAAGCTAACTTTAATGTAGTTTGCAACTGAATAAAAACATAAGGATCTAACTTTGGCGAAAACAGTTATGTTGATAGAGTACCTGCTTTAAGAGAAGAAAAACTTCCCCATCCTTTAGTTATTAGAAACAGGTCTATCTTTGTTCCACTGCCCACAGAACTACTTGTTATATTTTATTGTGTGGAGGGCAAAGATAGGGAAAATACCATTTTTCTTGAAAATACTAACATGTAGCACTCTTCAGAGGTGGTAATATGGTCCAAAGATTGCTCGACTGGTGCTTTTAAAGAAATGTTTAGTAATTAATAAAGTTGCATATCAAATGATCTACAGTGCAATGTTATGTAAAATAAGACAATTCCTAAAGGTCCATTGGTGGTTTGTGCACAAAGATTACTGGTCTTTAAGAACTCTAGCAGAAGCCATCTCCTGTGCACTGAGAACACCTGTAGTGATAGATCACTATACCATATGTGACTTCCACATCAAACACCACAAATGCACAGAAAGATGACAGCCTTTACTGTATGTTTATTTCACATTGTCAAGTACAGAGACCTCTCTGTTACAGCATTCAGAAGAGCTGATGGAATTACTTATCCATTGGTATGACCACTTTAGCTCCATTTTTCCTTTGAAAAACAAATTATAATCAATTGAATGCATTCTTACATGTCTGCAGAAAATGTATGCAGAAGAATGTCTGTAGAAAAGGGCTCAGCATACAGATTTCTTTCTTAGTGTTATGTGGTTCATCACTGGGAGCCTGTGGTTTGTTCCCATTGGGAAGATAGTTCAATAAAAACACAAGATGAACTTTTAGTATTAAATATCTGTGCTAAGAAAAACTTGACAAGCTACAGCCTAACAGCATTTCCTTCCCACTGCAGGAACAGATGCATGAAGTAAACACTGGCACAATGGAAAGACCACTGGAGGCTACCAGGCTGGAAATTAGCACCTCTTCCTGCTTTTTTATGGAAAGAAAGACTCAGGTCAAGATTAACAGAAAAAAGCTCATGTTAGCCAAGCTAAGGAAGAGCTGTTCTTGCACCCCTGGGAAACTGAAGAATATTATCATGGGCTTCTTTCCTGTCTTACAGTGGCTTCCCAAATACCGGTGCAAAGAGTATATCTGGGGGGACATCATGTCTGGGCTAGTAATTGGGATCATTCTGGTGCCACAAGCAATTGCATACTCATTGCTGGCAGGTCTAAAGCCCATTTACAGTCTTTACACATCATTCTTTGCCAACATCATTTATTTCTTAATGGGCACGTCCCGTCATGTCTCAGTTGGCATTTTCAGCTTGATAAGCTTAATGGTAGGACAAGTTGTGGATCGAGAGCTTCTCTTGGCTGGGTTTGACTTGAATGATGATGCCCTGCCAGGCTTGGGTGATGGCTCCCTCTGGAATAACAGCCAACCCAACACAACTGCCTTCAATCTCACCATTGGAGGAGCAAGTGTAGAGTGTGGGAAAGAATGCTACGCTATCGGCATTGCTACAGCCTTGACATTTGTAGCTGGAGTATATCAGGTAAGTGGTTGCTGATATCCAGAGGAAAGGTATGAAATTCATGAAGTTTCTTTGCATTATTGAGCTTCCTCTATCATACAGGAATGACAATGCAGCATCATTTCACTTGAACGACTGTACTGTTTTCTTCAGAAATCCTAACTCTGTGGGCAACACAGAAACATCCTCAGCCATATGGCTTTATTAGCAAGCACAGGCCAACAGTCTTCTGCAAGACTGATAACACTGTTTTGATTTTCCACTACCTATTGGGCTACCTTCATGGGATAATGGATTTGATTTTGATCTCATGACAAAAGTTCTTAGTACTTAAGACTGAAGAAATAATTCTGTGCCCCTGGCTTTGGTACACAGAAACACTTTGCTATCTACTGCATCTTCATTCAAGAAATAAAACTTAGACAAGCCACTTCTGTGGAGTCACTTTGTACCAACGCTGGAGTTACAGATTTGACTCTATTTTAACCTCATAAATTATTTCTCTTGTATGCAGTATCTCACAACAGTGAAAGGAATGCACTTGTTTTATAAAGTATCATAAGATACTCACTGTCTTAAGATTAAAATAGGCAAACGTTACTTGCCTAGAGCTAGTTCCCTCCCAGCTATACTTAATTATATGCAGAACAAATGTAAAGCTTTTTTTTCCCCACCCCGTTATCTTCACAGGTTCTAATGGGAATCTTTCGTCTGGGTTTTGTATCCATGTACCTGTCTGAGTCTATGCTAGATGGCTTTGCAACTGGTGCTTCCTTGACCATTTTAACAGCCCAAGTGAAGTATCTGATTGGAATAAAAATCCCGCGTAGCCAAGGGCACGGAATGCTCGTGATTACTTGGATTAACATTTTCCAGAACATTTCTCAGGCTAACCTTTGTGATGTCATCACAAGTGCCATTTGTATTGTGGTGCTGGTCACTGCTAAGGAACTGGGAGATCGGTATAAACATAAATTGAAATTTCCCCTGCCCACAGAGCTGGTGGTTATTGTTGTGGCAACACTGGTATCACACTATGGGAACCTGAATGAACTGTACGCATCCAGTGTTTCTGGAGCTATACCAACAGGATTTATTCCCCCCAAGGTGCCATGCTTTGACTTAATGCTCCGCGTCGCTGTAGATGCCTTGCCACTTGCCATAATAAGCTTTGCATTCACTGTATCGCTTTCTGAAATGTGTGCAAAGAAATATGCTTACACCATTCGAGCCAATCAAGAAATGTTTGCTGTGGGGTTCTGCAACATCATTCCTTCTTTCTTCCACTCTTTTGCAACCAGTGCAGCTCTGGCAAAAACACTTGTCAAAACATCTACAGGCTGTCAGACTCAAGTCTCCGGAGTGATTAGTGCAATGGTAGTTTTGATGGTGCTGCTCTTCTTGGCACCTCTCTTCTACTCCTTGCAGAAGTGTGTCCTGGCTTGTATTATTATTGTCAGCCTCCGAGGAGCCCTGAGGAAGTTCCGAGATGTGCCAGCACGATATCATGTGAACAAGGTGGACACACTGGTTTGGGTCATTACTATGTCTGCATCCGCCTTGGTTAGCACAGAAATAGGGCTTTTGGTTGGTATCATTTTCTCCATGCTCTGTATCATTGTTCGGACACAGCAGCCACGGACAGCCCTGCTTGGTCAGATCCAGAACACCAACTTTTATGAGGATGACTTGGAATACAAAAACCTCTCTTCTGTTCCAAAGGTCAAAATATTTCGTTTTGAAGCACCACTTTACTATGCAAATAGAAACTACTTCCTGAAGTCTCTGTACAGGCTGACTGACTTAGATCCTAACCTAGAAGCTGCAAGAAGGAAGAAATATGAGAAGAAGGAACAGCAGCAACTGAAAAAAGAAGATCAAACTGCTGCTAATGGACTGGGCATGGAAGAAACAATCATGCAACTAGTACCCAAGCAAATTGATTTCCAAGCCATTGTTGTAGATTGTTCTTCCATCTCATTTCTGGACACTACTGGAGTTAATACTCTGAAGGAAATCCTGAAAGACTACAAGGAGCTAAATGTTTCTGTTCTTCTGGCTTGCTGCAATCCCTCAGTAATAGACTCTTTGAAAAGAGGAGGTTACTTTGGGAAGGATTTTGGAAATATGCAGGAATTGCTGTTCTACAGCATACACAATGCAGTGCAGTTTGCAAAAGACCTAAACCTTCCATCAGACTGCACTGGTGTTTAGTCCATTGTTTTTCCTGCTACTAGCTACACAAGTGACAGATGAGAAGGGGCAGTTTGCAATAATCAAAATTATCAGACACATAACTGGCTTCATGAAGCAAGGGGCCTACAAGCCATTTTTCCCTTATGAGTTCTGCAGTTTGCCAGGTGCCATATAGAAAAGTCACTAGCACCATCCTGGGGGACAGGCTGAACTATTATTTATGCTTCCACCCTAAAATGCATGTGATATGCTATAGACAGTTTGAGATTGACTTCCCCTTGGGCCACAGTCAAATATATCCATCATAAGACAGTTGTGCTGGAAGTGTGCCCAATACCAGCTGTTTGCCTCGGGAGTTTATTAGCTGATTTGAGTTATGAGGCATAAGCCAGCTTGAAGGAAATGCAATGCATTTAGCATTTTGGCCTCATATGCCTAAGGTTGGGCTTGGAAGGCACTTGCTCTGCCCTTGTCCCAGGTATGCTCCTGAAAACAGCTCCCACCATTCACATGCAACTGTGTATAAACTACTACTGGATATAACGTGTCTCTTCTTGATTGCAAGGGCTTAATGACACAGTCTGCCCTTGGAGAAGAAATTACAATCCACCACATGTTCCTCTCGAAAGCGTCATATCCAAAAAAATACCCCTGAAAAATAATCACCTACATTGTTACAGTAATTAGTTGATGAAGGTTTTAATATTCTTAGTAACACAAGAAGAAACATGACCCTAACACAAAATTTTATCATGACTAATGAGGCAGCATAAACTATTAATGCAGGCTCTGACTGCCAGTCCCACTGTTATTCTGATTGCTATACCATTTGCCAAAATGAGTTGCCTTTATTGGGCAGATGCAAATATAATTCAGGAACACATAAGGATGATCAGTCATAGACAATAGAATTGTGATGAAACATGGGATGTTTGTCCTAAAACTGCCTGCCTGGGAGCTGGTCTAGAAAAAGAAAATGGGAGAAGAAATGGTAGGAGGAGAAGGCAAACCTGTGACCTGACTGGAAGAAGAGTGACAGAGCAGGACTGCTAGGCTGGCCTTCTCTGGTGTAATTCTAATAAAGTTTTATAGTAGCATATCTGGGTTGATTAACTGGGCAATGCTTTGTAAAGTATCCCCATATGCTCAAAAAATCCCACTATTCCTTGTATGACAGGCTTCCTCCCTTCGATCTTATCATAGAATCATAGAATCATAGAATCCTTAAGGTTGGAAGGGACCTCTAGAGATCATCTAGTCCAACCCCCCTGCATATGCAGGGTCACCTAGAAGTGCTTCAGTTTGTGGCCATTACCTCTAGTTCTGTCAGTGGCCACCACTGAAAAGAGGCCAGCACCATCCTCCTCACTCCCTCCCTTGAGGTACTTATAGACACTGATTAGATCCCCTCTCAGCCTTCTCTTCTCCAGGCTGAACAGGCCCAGCTCCCTCAGCCTCTCCTCGTAGGGCAGATGTTCCAGGCCCTTGATCAGCCTTGTGGCCCTGCGCTGGACTCTCTCCAGCAGCTCCACATCCCTCTTATACTGTGGAGCCCAGAATCATGCTTTTCTTTGATTTGATGTTCATTAACCTTTTTTGCAGGGCTGGATACTTTTTATACCAATTTCTTCCAAGGAGTGTTCATTTTTTGTTGTGTCAAATGATGCCCCCAAAGCCCAGTGCATCACTGTATATTCTCTTTCCAAATAAGCATGGACCTAAATTTTGATTGTGATTTGGTACTCTGTATTTTGACACTTGGCTTTGGTAGAATATCCCTTCTCACATCCCATAGTTACTTGTATTAAAAGTAGGCTTATGATTGCCTACCTCAGAGGTAGAGCAGGTGTTAACCTTCCCTCCTTCCTTATTGCTGGTTCACACACACAGTAAGGGGGTGTGGAAGGAAGGTTTGTCACAGCTGTGCCTGTTACACTTAACAGACTCTAGACTGGGCTCAATGTATGCTGAAGCCATTTCTCTGATCTGTGCTTTGAATGGAATATCATGACACTTGCTTATTTCAGTTTCTCAGACCACACAGTGAAAAGAGCAAAAGGGTTCTCCTGTTATACTACATTGTATCACGATTCAGTATGTAGACTGAAAATGTCGAAAACTGCCAATTCTCTTCTCTCCTGTTGTACCAGCAG